TTTTTTTTTTTTTTTTTTTTTTTTTTTTTTTTTTGCTGCCCCAACGTTTAAAAAAATACCAGTGAATCGGCCTTTTTTTTGTAATCCCCCACAACCATTTGTTCTTCTCCGCCGCGTTCCCTTTTTTTTGTTTTTTGCAACCCCCCTCTTCTTCATCACTTGTTGTTTTTTTTAACTTCTTGAGGGGAGAACAATGGTCAAATGTGAGCAATGAAAGAGTGGCTCGATTTATTTTGTTGCCCGTCTGGCCAAAGGGGACATTGACAATAAGCCGTATGCATATAACTGTACCCTATGCGGTTGCATATGAGATATTGCATATGAACAAACGCACTTATTCATTTGCATTTCTACTTGTGAGGTGGAAATTGTTCATGGAGACAAAGCAGCTTGCACCTTTCTGAAAGGGGACATACGTAGGTGTATAAGCAATTATATATAATACATGCGTATGCACTGCGTGGCATTTTTTGGTGACTTGGCTTTTTTAAACCTGTGTTGGTAATCCTGGGGGGGGTGTAGGGTTTAAACGGCGAAGGAAGGAGCATCCCCCAATCCCAACCTGTTTAGCACCCCACAAACAGAAAAAAAAAAAAAGACGTTACAAGTTGCTGAGTTGCGTATCCCTTTTGCACATTTTTGTTTGAAGTTCCTTGCCATTTTATTTCCCCCCCTTTCCTTTTTTTTTTTTTTTTTTTTTCGAACAACAAATTACCGTTCCGCGTGTCCAAAGGTATGCAATACATGTGTGGCATCCGTTTTTTTTTTTGTAAAATTGCAATTTTTGTTATTTTTTAATTTTTTTTTTTTAACATTTTGGTTGATTTCGCACCAGGGGGGAAGGAAAATCGTTCTTTTTTTTTTATTGTCCAAAAAAGATATACACTTCCTCAAGCATACATATACACAAGTGCTTGAAGGTATCATCTGCTTGGAAAAAATAGCTGTCCTCATTTTTCACCTGAGGTCAGAAAAAGCACCCTTTCACGATACCAACATGTCGAGGAAGTACTACGAAAAGTTGCTGGGCGAAATACGTAAGAATTTAAAAAAAAAAAAAAAAAAAAAAAAACATTAGCCATGTCCATATGGGCAAGGGGAAAAGCTAAAAATTAGAGAAACCGTTTGAATGTCTCTTTTTTTTTTTTTTTTTTTTTTTTTACAACTTAGAAAACCAGTCCAAGCCGGTGGAGTCCAAATATGGATCCTACATTATGCAGAAATTTGGATGGGCCAAGTAAGTAGCAGGGGGACACCCCAGAGGGGGCAGCTATATCTGGTGGAGCGGATCAGCGCTCTTGTTGCTTTGTAAATAAGCCCTACTATGCCTCTCCCCCACAATCATCACCCTTTTCTGTTTCTTTACCTGCAGGGGAAAGGGCCTCGGGAAACTCGAAAATGGAGACGTGAGCATCATGAAGATTAGGAAGTATGGAGAGCACGGGGTAAGTTAAACAAATAAAAAGAGGGGGAAAAAAAATGCCACATGCTTGAACAACGAAAAGTGGATGCATGTGACATTTTAACAACCCAAACACTTCATCCTCATGACGATCATGTTTTTTGAAATGCCTGTCTAGTGTGTACCCGTGGTGCACTTTTTTTTTTTTTTTTTTTTTTTTTTTTTTCCCCGCCCAATTTCATGACCATTTTGTGGTCTACCCCTTTTCATTTTTTTTTTTTTTTCTCTTTCCCTTTTTGTTGTGCAGCTGGGATATGAGGAACGCCAGAAGAATGAAGACGAGAAGGAAGGCATGTGGTGGGAAAACATGTACAACAATTGCGCCAAGAAAATAAATCAGGCCGGCAGTAATAAGACTTCACTTGCCACGAGTGAAGAAAAACCCGAAAAAAAAAAAAATGAAAATATAAAATATTCCATTTTTATTAAAAAAAGTGATACTTCATTAAATTCAGCAAGTGATAAATGCGTGTCGATCAACTGTGACGACCAGCCATCTACCCATGAAAACAGTTCTGACACAAATGATAATGTGCAGGATGAGGAGGAGGAGGAGAAGGGGGGATGTACAAATGGCTCAAAGGGCAGTGAGACAGCCAGTCAGATAAAACCCGGTGGGGCTTACGCCAAATGGAAAATAAAAAATGGCAATGCTTTAATCAATAAGGCAGCCATAATTAGTAAGGTAAAAAATTGGTCAAAAAACAAGAAGAAATGGAAAAAAGGAAATATGTGGGGGAAGTACAGTGCGAAATGGAATGCCCAAGCGGATCGTAACTCCATACAGAGGTGATCCTTCCTCGTTTGAAAGAGGAAACAATTCAGAAGGGGGAAAATTTTGAATCCAGGGTGCAGTGTTAACATATATATACCCTGCAACGTAGCCCCCTCCCATGCACACCGTAACGGTGTGAAGAATGAACTGAACCCCTATGTTTGACGAGGCGGATAAAGCAGCGCCAACATGTGCGATGCTTCATTCGTCTGTGTTAGCGTGCCGCACCTTTGGGGCAACTGTCTTTACGTTAACTGTTTTTTTTTTTTTTTTTTTTTTTGTGAACAACTGCGGTGTGTTACAACAGCTTAATCATTGAAAAGGTTAATAAAAAGATACAAATAAAATGACACAAAAGGTAAACAAAAAAATTATCGTGGTAAGTTTTGAGGACACGATATGTAAGCCGCATTCCTGCATGGCTAAACAAAAAAAAAAAAAATGGCACGAACTGCACGGGGGAAGGGATCCACAAGACACCTATTATAAAATGGAATGGCACGTGTGCAAGAAAAGCACCGCACCAATGGGAAGACTCATTTTTTTCGCTTCCGTCGGTCCGTCTTTTCAGTTTCTTCTCCCTCTTCATTCGTGCCTTTACGTTTACTTGTTTTCTTTTCTGTGGTCTTGGCTTTGCCCTTTTTGGCGGAGTGCGTTTTGTCGTCCGCCTGCTTTGCGCCACCAACGTTGTCTTCACCCGTCGCTTCCACCGCTTCAACTGTTTCTACCGCGGGGTTGGACGACGCAACCGGGAGGCTTACATTCTCGTCGCTCATAATTTTCCAGATTTGCTCCGAAATTTTTTTGTTTAAGACTTCCGGGAAGAGCTCCTTGATGTACTTGTAGAGCTTCTGCGGGTACTTGAGCCTCCAGTTTTCGACTCGCTTGGTGATTTTGTTCCACATGTAGCCTGCAGGGGGGGGGGGGGGGGGGGGGGGGTAGAGGTTGATAACGTATGGGTGGGGTTATTGTACGTGTAGAGGTGATAAGGTGAGGTGACCACAAAAAAACGATTTTCACATGTCTTCCGTTTCGCTTACCTCGGTTGGGCTCCGCCTTGATGCACTTATTAATTATGTCCTTCTGGTTGACCTCGTTTTGCTGATCGATTTCAAAGGCGAGGAAGGTGGCCCAGCCGTCGCCGAAATTTGGGCTGAGGCTAATCACACGGTAAAACCACTTCCTGGCCTTCTGTGTCTTGAAGTGCTGCCAAAACAACTTGGCCACGGTTAAAATGACGTAAGCGTTATTTCCACAATTATTAAAAGCAGTCACAGATTTGCTATTTTGAAGATTCTTATTTTCAAATTCAATTGCCTTGGACCAGAGGATACCAGAGGACGGGCATTCCTTCAGCGCTTCCGAAATGACAGGAGTGACATTATTTCTGTTGCAGTGAGATTCTATTTCTATCAGTTTGAGCCAGAGTAAGTCGTAATTCTCAATCACCCTGATGGAGGCATTGATGGCTGTATTTTTACTCAAGTCATTTTTTGCATTAGCTAAGTTGTTTACATTTCTTCCACTCTTCGTGTCCTCATCGTCATTCCTATTCACTTCATCTTCAAGTGCAAATTCGTTACTCTCAATTATTTCTTTACCTTTTAAAACGTGATTATTGCTGTTGGCCGAATGGATGCTTTTAATTTTTATTTTTGCCTTTTCCACTAGGGCCCTAGCTGAGGTGTAATTTTTTTTTTCGATTTGAAGGTCGATGGCACATATCCACAGGTTGATGGAGGCGGGGCAGTGCTTCAATCCCTCCTCGTAAATTTTCTGTGCATGGTTGTAGTGATCGTGGGGGTTGCCTGCGTTGCTGGTAGGTGGTTCCTCCTCTTCCTTCCCTTGCAGCTGCGATTTTTGCTTCTTCCCCCTGGCGTTGCTGCCGCTTGGACTGTGGCTGTTGCTAAGCATGGTAGAGGCACAACTCACTGCGTTAACTCCGTTTTCGTGGATGGGTCCTGGCCCCCCGAGGTAGTCCGCTTCCCCACGCAACATTTCTAGCTCTATCTGACCAGCAATCATATACAGCTTGTCAAATCGTTTATGAATTTGTAGCGCCTCTTGTGCCAACTCCTTTGCTTCCTTATAATTTCTCAGTAGCCTTTCCAGCTGAACAGACTGCATCCATATTTTAGGAGTGTTACATTGAACCCTAGACTTTTTTAATAAAAACCTGGCTCGATCGAATTCATTATTTTCTCTCTCTAGCTTTATGGCTGCCAAGGAGATGACTTCCGTGTTTTGATTTTGCATAAATGCCTCTGCTAGTATTTCCCTGGCTTTGTCAATTTCATTGTTTAACCATTTTTGCTTAGCATACATTAACCAGAGGACACTGGACTGTGGACAGCTCTTCACAGCCCTCTGCAGCACCTGATCAACACTATCTTTACTTCCATAAGCTAATTCAAGATTAGCCAAGGCTAACCATAATGATTTTTTCATTTTATAAATTTTCAATGCTTCATTATAAATAGCTCTAGCGGTATGAATGGACTTATTCTTAATACAATTTTCCGCATCCTGTTTGTATATTCTCTTTTTATTAAGACTCTCCACACCTATGTTCATAGTATTCCTGATGATACTTTCACATGTTAAGGGGAATTCAGACTTTTCACTCTCCTCTGCGAATTTTAACCATTTGTCTCGCTCGAACACCACATTCTTAGAAGATAAATTTTCAATACATCTTTTAATAATAATATCCACCATGTTATTATTTCCTTGTTTCTCTTCTAACTTAGATGCATTTATCCATATTTCTGCACTGGTTGGTATTTTTTTTCTTGCTTCGTTTAGAACCTTCTGGGCTTCCGTATAAGGACACAGCCTAGCTAAGGCAATCCACATTTCAATACATTGTGGGATGCACTCCACTGCTCTCTTCAATAATATATAAGCATTATTTTCACTCTCCAATGATATAGCTTCCTTCCATAGAAGAACTGAGTTGGGTATACATTCAATGGCCTTCCTCAAGACCTTCCTCTTATCGTCTATATTATTCTCTTTCCTGTATGCTTCCAACCACAGCTTAACAGATGTTGGTATGGCCTTAATGGCTTTTGTTAAAATTATTTTAACTTCACTTAATTTTTCTTCCAGTCTTACTGCCTCCAACCAAATGTCTTCATTCTTTGAACATTCTACACACCCCTGAGTGATAATTTCTTTAGCTTTATCTTTCCTCTGTGCTAATTCCTCCACCCTAGCAGCAGCAATCCATCCTGGCCCATGCTTAGGGTTGGTACTGATGACTGATTTGAGCAAAGATCTTGCTTTATTAATATCTGCTATATCTGCATCGTTCACTAAGCTCTTTGCATTTAAATTGGTTAGGTATCCCTTAGGATCTATCACCGTCTGCCCTTCAACACTGTCAATGAGCTCATCCAACTTAACTGACAACACTGTTCCTCTTGCCTCTCCTACATCATTTAATGAAAGTTTGTTTACTCCGCTCATGACAGGAGTATTGTATCCCCCAGGGGTGGAAGCACTCAGAGGGGTATTGTACCCGGATAACGTGAAGGGCGTGTTCAATCCGCTATATGCTGAGGAAGAGGAAGAGGCATTTCTTCCCTTTGCCGTTAATAAATGTCTGCTCAAAAATGGTGTCTCCAAACCAAACCCACTTCCTTTCATGAATGGAGTTTGCATCCCTAATCCTATAGGTGTACTTGCACCCAAGGGGGTTCTTAACCCTAATGGGGTTTTTGTGCCCAGAGGGGTTTGCGTGCCTAGCGGAGTTTGCATCCCCAGCAGAGGCGTTTTCAATCCATTCGAAGTCGAACCTGCATAATTGAGATGCATATTGGCATCGTTCAGTCTGCTCATGATAAGGCTATCTGGTGTGGGCAGGTAATTTTTCGGCACTTTTTTCTGTTTTTGTCTTGAGTAATTCATAACAGTTGGTATGGACTCCCATTCCTCTGCAGTGACACTTGCTAATCCTTTTTTCAAATCACTAAATTGTTCTTGTATGGTAGGTTTTTGTGCTCTTATTTTTTGTATCTCTTCCTTCAACTTTATTTCTCTCCTACTCTTTCTCCTCATATCCATGCGTGCATCTATAGTGTCATATATCGCATCCGCTTCCTTATCGTCCTCATCGTATTCTGCATCTTTAAATAAAGATTCTGAATAGCCATGAAATTCATCGTAATTGAAATCGGAGTAATCATTTTTGTCCTTCTCATCTGTCGTATCATCTCTACTAACACCTCCTGAGAATCCAGTTACTCCTCTTCCCTTTCCTGGGACGTAACCAACTGGCGCCTTGCCAAAGGGCTCTGCCTTGGACGGGTTAAATGTGTACATGGCGTTTTCTTGTTTTGCTTCTCATTTGGGGTGCAACATCAAGGTGCGCCGTGCTCGTGTACGGTACAATGCGCACCCGATGATGTCGCGTTAAGCGGTACAACGGGAGTAGAGCGGAAAGGCAAGACACAGAGAAGTAATGTTATCACTAATAAAAGGACACTATTGGTGAGTCACTTCCACCGTAGTGTTCAATTAGGCATGCCTCTCACGCGGCCACGTTATTTTGTTCTGTGCACAAATTGAGCCGCTTTGGATGTGTAAAGGGGAGGACACATGACTCGTTTGGCTACCCACAGTTTGCCAAAAAAAAAAGGG